AGCATGGGAAGTGTTAATAGCATACAAAGACGTCATGCCGGATGACTTGCCTGCAAGAGTGCCTCCAACACGAACCCACGAGCACGAGATCGTGGAGGAACCAAGTGCGAAACCCGTCTCCCTTGCACCATACCACCCTTGTCCGACAGAACTGACAAATATGAAGAAGTAGATCGAATATCTACTAGACAGAAAACCGATCCGCCCATCCACCTCTCCCTACGGAGCAGCATTTCTCTTCATTCTAGAATTGGACGGTAGTTTACAGATGTGCATCGACAACCGAGCACTGAACAAACAGACAGTTAAAAGCAAATACCCCATACTGCCCATAGACGATCTTCTAGATCAACTACGTGGTGCAACAGTATTTTTGAAGCTAGACCTATGGTAGGGTTACTCACAGATCAAGATGGCAGACAACTCCATCCACAAGACTTCGTTCTGTACCAGATACGACTCCTACGAATATTATATGATGCCATTCGGACTCTGCAACACACTGGCGACGTTCTAAGCGGAGATGAGTCACATCCTACTGCCCCTGCTGGACGAGTGCGCAGTAGTCTATCTGGACGACATTCTAATATAATCCAAGAATATGAAAGAGCACGTGGAGATCTGCATAAATTCTTCGAGATCCTGTGAAAACAAGTTCTACGAGAAGCTGTCAAAGAGCGACTTTGCCCTGAAGAAGATGCAGTGTATCGGACACATGGTTAGTGCGGAGGGCGTACACGTAAGATCGAAGCAGTCAAAAAGTGGAAAGTTCCTGAGAACATGAAGAAGTTGCAGCAGTTCCTAGGCTTCGCCAACTACTACAACAGGTTTGTGCCACAGAACGCTAATATAGAAATGCCACTGACAAACTTACTGAAAAAGGATTCGCCCTATAAATAGAATACTCCTCAGCAACAAGCCATGGAGCAGCTACAGACAGCACTGACTACAGCGCCAGTACTCAACGTATTGAATCTAGACAGAGACTACGTGGAGGAAGCAAACGCTAGTGACAAAGCAGTCGGAGCAGTATATCAGAATACGGAACGGGAATGACTGGATTGAGATCAAATTGAGTACAAGTACTAGCCCTAATTGGGTTGTACCCCTTTTGGGCTACCCCACTACAGCCTACACAACATAAGCATTATGATATTTTGACACACCCCCATAGGCGAAGTGGAGGAGAACAAGTGGTCACAAGACCAGTCAAGAAAAGCAAAGCAAACTCAGAGTGGATCACGAAGTCAACACACAGTCCCAGCACAATCAAAAGGCATGTTCACATGCAGAGTTATATAAAAGAGAACAAACACTACAGTGATCATAACAAAGCGAGTGTAAGCATGCAGGTTTATATATAAATCATACTACAAGCAAAGTCACGTAGTGAGCAAGTGAGACAAAGCAGGCACAAGGCCTAAAGCAGTACAGAATCGATGATGATCACCAGGCTGAAGAGCCTTGGTGAATATAACAGCAGTGTTGGCCCATGTGGCCACGTAAGCAAGAAGAAGCTGACCACGCTGCTGCAACTCTCGAGCAAGGAAGTAACGCAAAGCGATGTGCTTCATTCTGTGCTCTAGTTTGTGCTCCTGACACAAGGCAATCATGGCCTTGTTGTCTATGTACAGAACCGGAGGAGAACAAGGCCGCTCTCCCAAGTCAGTCAGCATGAAGGTGGGCCAGCGTAACTCCTGTGCAGCCATGGCTCCTGCGTAGATCTCATCCTCACAACTGGAGCTGAGAACATAAGACGAGCGGGTAGACTGCCAAGAAACAGAGCCAAGGCCAAGGCTGAAAGTGTAACCCTGTGACGACCGCTGCATAGCCAGGTCGTCAACCCGAGACGCGTCTGAGCGTCTAGTGAGGACAACTGGACCCCGTCCTCCAAGCACCAGCCCCATGC